AGGGAGGCGCCGACGTCGCCGCTGCTGGGGGATCGAGGGAGGCGCCGCCAGCCGCTGCTGGGGATTTTTGCCGTCGTCCTCCTCTTCGCGTACGGCTGGTGGCGCTGCGCCGCCACCTCGGTTCGTTCGTTTTGTTTCTTCCGTTTGGATTTATTTTGTGCGCTTGGTTGTGCCCGTAGGATCTGTGACCGATTTCCGTGCGGGTGGGTGGTATGTGGCCGTTTTGGCCGCTTGGTTGTGGTTGCCCTATTTGGGGGGTGTTTTCTCGTAGATTCTATTGTTAGTGATATGTGTACCGGGGTTACGTCGCTGTGTGTGGTGTGATATGGCACGGGAGAATTGAAGGAAAAGGCTAATGCTGCTGTTTGGTTATGCACATTTCCTGTATGTTATACTATGTTTTTTCTGTTTTGGTCCCTGATGCTGGGTTTGTAGTTAGGTAGCACAATTTGTTGCTCCTTATTAGGTCTGAACATGAATGTCGGCGCTGCCGAGGTGCCGCATTTGAGTAAAGAGCTGTTGAGGTGCTGCATTTAAGTAAAGAGTATGTGACTTTTCTTAAAGGCGCGATGCTTCAGCCTTATTCCATTCTAGGTAGTTCGTTTGTGCTATGTTGGGTGGTCTGATCATGATGGTCTTGGTTATGCCTGTGTTTGTTGTGGAGCTTTAATTTGGTACTCTGAGAAATCTGTTGCCAACAGCTCTGTGTCGGGAAGGCCGGGTAGTTTTGCACAATTTCAGAATCAAGTCTTCGCCTCTACATGAATTGGCTTGGTGCCAACATTGATAGAGCATAAACATAGTCACTGCCCCTTATGTTTTTATATAAATGGCACTGGTGCTGGCCATTGCATCATTTTTGTGTGTTCACATTTTGTCTGAGAGACTATGATGATAAAACTATTGCTCTCCACAGATTAATACTCAATGACATTCAAAAAATAAATTCCATTCCCTCCGTCCGGAAATACTTGTTGAAAAAGTGTTTTAGTTTTAGATACATACATTTTTATCCATTTCTCGACAAGTATTTCCGGACGGAGGGAGTACTATATTACTATGTAAGAGGATATCTCAATAAATCAGTACTTGATTTTTGTGTGCCTCTGATGATAAGTACTTTGGTTTACATAAACTCCCATGTTTTATGCGGCTGTGGCTTCTTTTAGCTTTGCTTGAGTTCATGGTTCGCATAGGGCTGCTGATTATGAACATTATTAAGTCATGTTGCAGGTTCTGAATTTTCATGTTGGAAGACGTGGTTACCCTTCAGACACTCCAGTACATATATTCTCTCTAAAGTTCGTTTGCTTAGAGAATTATATACATCATGCTATTTGTTTCTGGATTGTGCATGCTCTGTTTTTTTACTGGATTTTATAAATGGTTCCTCCTTGGTTAATACAATTACACATTGGCTTCTTCAGTTGATTAGTCCATGTTGTATCTAAATGATAATGCAGTGGTCCAAGACTTCTAGTCGATTCTAAACCACAACCCCCGTCGCCGAGCGGTCCTCCAGCAAAACCCTTGCCAACCAATCGCTTCCATTGATCGTCACCATGAGCGGGGGCGGGGAAAACCCTCGCCTCTACGCTCCAGCCTTCCAGTTCAGAGCAGCTTGCATTGCTCCGCTGCACCAGCCTCAGCTTGCTCCATGGTTCAACGCGGTACCACCTCTTTCTGCTCGCCCCTTCCGTGCAGCAGCACCTCACAAGCCAGAGCTTCCTCCACGTGTCAACGTGGTACCACCTCTTGCTGCTCTGCCGCACCAGCCTCAGCTTGCTCCATGGTTCAACGCGGTACCACCTCTTCC